AATTTTTTTCTCTTGTCTGTAATATAAATATGGAATTAAGGATTTTCAATACTCAATGTTGGATTTCAAATAGATTTTATTGTACTACTTGGAATATTCATCTCATAACCAATGTCAAATATAAAACCCTTAAAGAGTCAGACTAGGCCTTGGCTATCGTGATACAGGGTAGTCTGCGTAGACAGACAGTAAAATCTCCCAACAACATGACACTCAGACTATCTCTAACAGAAGAAAACATGAAGGGAAGATCAGATGATATGATAAACAGTAATAGCAATTGCTGCCATGTATCGGGTACTTCTTATGTAGCAGGCATTGCTCAAAGAGCTTGACATTTAGTAACTCATTCTATCCTCTCAACAACCTTTTGAAACAAGAATAATTGCTATGATATTGTAAAATGTAATTCTTTTAATTAAATACTGATTCATAAGCACAATAATCTTTTGCTTTCTGTCTTGCTTGCCGATCCTGAGAAGGGAAAAAACAGGGATATTTTACTTGTTACTAAGTCCTTAAAAGGTCTCCTGATCAAAGAATCAGACTGTAAATCAACTCTATCTTAGTGGAAAACCATAGGCACTGAACCTGTGAAAAGTTATAAAAAGAAGACTCTCAAAGAATATCATATTAGCCAATATATATTTCTCCCCCAAACTGTGTTATCACTAAGGTTATAAAGTGTCTTTATTCTACAAAACTTCACAGCAAACAGAAATGAAATAGCTACATTTGAACAAAAGTAGACACATCAGTCTATTCTGAATGTTGAACAATAAAGAAAACATGCAAATGGAAGTAAGTTTGCAGAAAAATTATTAAAGATAAGTGGATCATGATGTGTTTCCTGGTGAATATTTTATATTTGATAGGCAAAGCTACAAAAGAAGTATAGTTATCTTTCATAATTTCAAAATAATATAAATATTAGATTTTAAGAGAACAATGGTGTGTCAACACTTTTTGCTAACTCTTATTTCTAAACCAGACACTTTCTACCAGTTTGGCTCTACTCTTAGAACTCACAAATTTTTCTTCTTTTATTTCTTCAAAAAGTAATCTGTTTAATAATTCTAATTAGGTTATTAATAGAGAGAAATCACTGGTGTTTTTTATTTTGTTCCACTAGAAATATATTTGCACTAATATTACAAGAATATAAATTATTTTGAAATACAAAATATCATTAGTCATTCTTTGAATTGCGTCTCTTTTGGAGAGCAAATTTAAAAATGAATTTAGCCCTGCCTAAGTGTCTCAGTTGTTTGGAATGTCATCCCATGCACCAAAAATTTGTGGGTTTGATTCTCAGTCAGGGCACATATGTGAGGCAACCGCAAGCTATCAATGTTTCTCATATTGATGTTTCTCTAAGATGTCAATGTCTCTCTCTATCTCTCCCCCCACTTCCTCCCTCTCTAAAATGAATATTATCCTATGGAGAGGATTAAAAACAAATAACAAATAATTAAAAATAAACAAAAATAAAAATGACTTTCAAATCCAAAAGTATATATAAATAATTTTTCAAGGAATTGATCCTTGAACTATTGTAATCCAATAGAGAAAGTTAGTGAAGCATTCTGGACTACAAAGCCAATAGTCTGTAAGATATTCTCATGATTTTCTTGAGGATGACACATTCATAATCAGCTATTTTAGTAATTTGAAATGTGCACTTTTTCCTAACTTTGAGTCTAGTAGAATTTATGTATTTGTACTTGCAATTCCCCAAATAAAAGTGAGAGTTTTAAAATATCATTGGCATTGTCAAGTATAATCAACTAAAATTTTCCAAACTACAACAGGGAATTTTTCTAATGTATCTATAATGTTTATTGGTCATATGAGTACATAATACTTCTAGAAATTATCAAAAGTGTTCATTTTCTTACAGATGTTTGAGAAGCATACCCATAATCTGTTTTGTAAGAATAAAAAATTATTTATTTAAAATGTTCAAATGTACTGATAATTAATCTTGCCTTCAGAATTCCAGCTAAAGAATGGCAAAGTGATTTCTGCTTATTTTGCTCATAACATTGGTAGATATAAGCTTTACAATTACATTAAAGTGATTCTTGATCATTACACAGTTGTACTATATTTCCACTGCCTTTATAATTCTGGATTCTATGTAACTTCCAACAACATGGCCATAATCCAAAGATTCCATTAACCATAGTCTCTCACATCAGCTTTCCACATTCAGTAAAATTTCTGAAATTAAGTGTTTAACCCTGATGTATATACCCAACAATAATAATTAGTTCTCTTTTTTCATGATATGAAGTCACATACTGTGTATACTCAGACTTGTTATGTAAAATATCCAGAATGTGGATGGTTGAGTATTATTGAGGTAGGATGGAAATACAGACAATTTGCCACTCAAATTATGTCCATACACATATGCACACATACACACATGCACACACACGACATGCACACACATACAGATAAATCTTATCAAGTCAACAAAAACTGTAATTTGGGAAATATACTATTTAAAATAAAAATAAACTATACATTTTATTAAGAAAGATGATGGTAACTTAATTTTAATCAAATTTAATTATAAAAGCACTATATGGAAAAAAATTCCTTGAAAACAATACAACAATTTATGCATCAGATCCAATAAATTTTCACTGAGCTTTTTCTATGAGTTACAAGATCCGACTGTAGGCACAAAGTTTGTTTATAATCAGAAATATTAGTTGATCACATTTTGCACAGCATTTCACTAATTTCCCATTTTAAACAATCTTGTTATTAACTATTATGTTCAGCTCCCTTTATTTATACATGGTATACATGTATAAATGTGCAAAAATACTAATGTAGCTTTTTAAATACAACTAATGTACATTTTCAGATATTTCACAATATAAGCAATTTAGATGCTACCCATCTCTATTTCCTTCAGAAAAGTAACTTATAATCACTTTTTAATTTGTATTTTTATACAGCACATAGTGCTTAAATCTGGCCTTCCTGTCTAGCAATTAGCTTTTTCATAGTATTTGAGACCTAGCTAAGTAGCATATAATGGACTGCTTCAGTTTTCCATGCATACTCTATTGTCATTATCTCAAATAAGTAAATAGAACATCTTAAATGCCACTTCTTAAACCTTCCTATAAATATTTGGTAAAAGGCCCTTAGCATTACATTCATCAACACCTGTTGGGAGTATCTGTCATTTGAACTAAGACAAATTAATTCATCTTAAGAAGTAATCATTGTCATTAAATTGTCATCAACCACAACAGCAGTAGGATGAGAAATTCTAACAGAATGTTTTGAGTAAGAATTTGCTAAATCTACACATTTCGATTTAACATAATCAGAGGTATATTTTTCATATTTGTAATATATACATATAATACAACTCAGCAAATAGGAATCATCAAGATGCATGTCACATCTCTTAAACAAGGGAGACCAGGAGACTCAAAACAGTAATTGTGCTCTTTGTTTACAGATCCCGTACCACTGAGCGTAGGCAGGACGTTTTTCACAACATATTTCACCTAATTGTCGGTACATCCCTTAAATTTCTTACCATAGAACCGACTAGGATTTATAACTAAAGTGAGTGTTAGGCAGAAAAGAAATATGCCCAAGTAATACAGTATTGCCCAGAGGATAAATGTGTTTTTTTTTTAATTCTCATAGTAGACATTTAGTTTTTATTCATGAATTGAGCACATCAAGTGAAAAAAAAACATTTCTGGGCTATCATCAACTTAGTGATCTTACCTCCTTCATAATTATTCCACGAACCTCAGAGAGAAGGCCCAAATCAAGGTTTTCCCCTCAGCGTAGACGTATATATTAAATTGCAGGTTATTAAAATTTTGACCTTCACACAAACCATAAAATAGTCCCAAGAAAGAAGTATTTTTAAATTTTAAAATAAATTATCAGCATGTTCCTTAACCATAAGTGCATTTAAAATAAAAATAAAATCAGAGGAAATGAAAAAATAAGGAATAAAATTTAAAACTTTTACTAAAACCAGTCATTAGGCTTTTAAAATGATCATGAAACACTAAAAAATCTTCATAAAACAAATAAAGAATACTGCTAACATATAGCAATGTCATTACATAGATATATGGATTTTTTTCCTTCTTTGGATACATAGTTGCTATTGGACTACAATACAGCAGTGAGAAGCTGGATAACTCTAAAGTATACGTCCTGGAAGGCACTGAATCAGCAGAGATAAATTGTGGCAGTACTGCTTGGCTGTGAACTTTCACTTAGGAGGTGATGAATTAAGTTCTCTCTCTAAGTAGATCCATTCTGGTCACCTCTGAACAAAAATAGTTACCCTCACAAAACTGTAAATAGCTCTGAGGTCTTCCTTTCAGAGGCCATCTTTTCCCATTCTGTTGCACTGATGACCACATCCTTATGTGGTCAGCACCTACAATGTGAAAAGTATCCGAAGATGTGTCTTCTTTAGCGCTTCTGCCAATATTATGAGTCAACTACTATATATATTAGCCAACAGCTACTATATACACTATGAGCCAGCTGCTATCTATCTCTCAAAAGGAACAGGTTCATCTGAATGGAAAATAGCTAATAAAGGGGAAGAGGCCCTAAATGACAAGTTTTCGAGAAACCAAAATGCCAAATGTTAAAAATCATACACCTGGAAATTTTAACAGCAAGAAAGAAGCATTAACCACCACATATTTAATATGGAAGAAAACTGTTTTTACAAAAGAGAAGTCAGATGGGAAGGGAATTAAGATTTCTTTTATTATTTTGTAAGCCAAAACATAAGTGTAAAATGTGCTTTGGCCAGAATAAATGGGATATACGTACACAAAAGTCCTCTCACCGCATCCCCACCGCCATCATCATCACCATCGTCATCGTCATCGTCGTCCTCATCATGTCACCTTCACCAACCACATCACTGCAACACTGGGACCACCTTCTCTTCCTCCCTCTCCCTCTCCCTTAGACTTTCTTACCTCTCTCCCGCCTTGTCCTGCCTCCAGTCTTTTCAGGTTCAAACCCTGAAACAAAAAAACAGAGTATTTTAATGTTAGCAAAGAAGTTAACTAATAAATAGTACTAGTGCAAAAAAAAAATGGAAATAAAAGAAAATAATTCCTTGAACAAGTAGTACCCGGATATAGATGAATATCTCACACATATGTCAATATCTGCACAAGTTTTCAAAGGTGGTATCAAACATTTCTTGCTAAATGTTAAGACCATAAATCAAAGCACAATATAAAGCATTTGTTTTAGTAAAAGGATTACTTGCCCCTTGGTAAAACCACAGTCTAAAACTGCGGTTTAACACTGAAGCAGCATGTATGGGCTATGCGGTGCCAGTAAGCTCTGCCTCTGCAGCGCGCGTCTGGCACGTTAGGGCCCAACACAAAGGAGGGGAGGTAAAAGCGGCAGCCTCCCGGGCAGCACTGGCCACCCTCTAGGAAACACTCAGGATATTATCTCATGAAAAAGGACTTTCTCCCTCTCCTGTCATCATAACTACTTCCTCCACTAAAAGTACCCAGTGAACACAATGCTGAATTTTAATGAAAGAAGAGTTCATCTTTTTCTTAGCAAGCCTATTGTAGAAAGTGCTCATGGCACGACAAAGAGTCTCTCTCTCAGCGCTTTCTCTTTCTCTCTCTCCCTCTCATGGTTGCTATTCAAACAAAATGCTCAGGGAAACACCTGAGAGCTCTTTCTCTGTGTATTTCCCTCTGTGTATTTCTGGTCATGTGCCCCACAAATTCTAGCTGCCTTGGTCTCTCCAAAATCAGATCTTTGTTTCCTCAACTACAAAATTTAAAGACCCGGATGTTCTGTTTGGAATAGTTCTCCAGGCACCGTGGTCCAAAAATTATCTCCAGGAGAAATCCAGGTGTTGTAAGTCTCTCTTCTCCTTTCCTTAAGCATTATGTACTTTCTTGTCTGTTTTATTTTTAACGTGTGATGATTGTTTTTTCCCCCAGTTTTCTAATTATTACAGCAGAGGGCAAGTCTTCTAGACACTACTCCTTCATAAATAGAGGCAGAAGTCAGAGTATTTTAAACTCATTTTTTTTCAAAGGAGAAAATCCAAGCTTACAAAATTTAAGTTATGTGTTCCAAGTACCACAGATAGTAAGTATAAAAGTAAAACCTAAACCAGTATTTTAAGAGCCCGGATACCAAGTTAATCCATTCATCCTTGCACAGGGTTCTTTAAATTCATAGCAGTAAAAACCTTTCATGTGTTTTATGCTTAGGGACACAAATTCCTTGTAAAATGGGTCTCGTGCATAAGTCAAGATGTTTCTTCAAGGAAACAGTGATCAAGAAGAGCTAGGTGTCAGGACTTTGAGAAAAAAGAATACCCACCCAGATGAATTAGGGGCTGAAGGGTAAACTTACCTGGGTAGATATAATATATTGCATAAACTATGTAAAAAAGTTGGTTATAATTTGGGCAAAGAATTATTGAAAGACCAATCTTGAGGTTGAAGAACTGAATTAGAGAATCTTGTCAGCAGGACTTTGGGAGCCATATGAGGAAAAAATAATGACATAAGAGGATATTTCGTATCGAACAGGGCCTCAGGCAAGAATGTATCTCAATAGAAAAGTCAAATGATCTAGGATATAATGAGATTCACAAAGAATTATATGACCTGGGAGATGTGAACCCTTAACTGATAGCAGAAATCACTCTGAGTACTAGATTAAGATGAAGCCTTCTAGGTAGAAGATCAGGTGGTTTGACTGGGGAATGCTGTTAGGGGAAAGTACCAACTGTGACTTCTAGCTCCCACTAGGAAAACAACAGCAATCATGATTTTTGCTGATGCTTACTGACAGTAACTTGGATAACTTGCTTTGAAAGATTTGACCATAACATCACCCCAATTAATAAGCAATAACATTTAAGCCAAGAAATATTTTCAAAATAAATATTAATCTCAAAGAAACCCAACCTCTTCTTTGTGTTCACTTACATATATTTAATGTTTACATTTTAAATAAACAAAATACTTGGCATTTTTATATTTTGTGTAATATGCATTAAAATGTATTGAAATAATTCAGAAGAAAATGATGATTTTAATTATATTCACTGAGACAATCTGACTCTCAGACTTGAGATAGACAATAACAATAAAATTACATATGTGTATATAAACATGTATACATACTGGTTTACTATTAAAATTAATACAGGGGTTATAAAATTTTAGCTGACATAACACCCACTTCATTCCTCTTAAATATGCACACTTAAGAATATAATATTTATCTAGCAAGTCTTGAGAACATCATGTTTAAAAATACTTTGGGGACTTGGTTGAGGAAAATTTCTTTCCCTTACTATACATATTTTTTCACTAGAGATTATAAATGGTTTGTGTGGATTGAAATTAAGTGCATGAAACCAAACAAAAATGCTATAAATTATAGGTTAAAAAAAATCCCAAAAGCATATGTTCTGCAGTGTGCTAAATTAAGATAGTTTAGTAAGGTGTTAGGGGAAAAACTATTAACTGAAAAAAAAAATTGAATTCCCTACTGTAAGTCTCTTGCAGCAGAACACTCAGGCATCTGTGTGAACACCCCTGGTTACCAGGCCAAGGTGTGAGAGCATCTCTCTCTCTAGCGCATTACATAGCGGGGAGATCTTCCCTTGATAATGATTATGATCTCTTCCCAAATTGCTATCATGTCATAAAGATTTCTCCTGCTTCCTTGTAAACAAAAAGTCAGAAATAGAGTATGCAATGCCCCTAGATTTGCTCGGTTTACTTGTCCAATATGGAAATCTATAGAATGAACAGAGGGAATAGACATTTCATTTCCTGTACAGTGGGGATTTCACTGTGATAACTTCTTAAATGTAGAAAGTAGTTATGATCTAAAGTCAAAAATTAAATTTTTAAAGTATTCAAATAAGTGTGGGACTTTTTATGTTTAGTCTTAGCTGTGGAGGCACAAGAAAGAAATAGGTGGAACTTTAAATAATTTGTAGTCCAACCTCCTAATTTGACAGGTGCAGGAGCAGGCAGCAGGGAATTTAACTTACAAGGGGCAGATCTGGGTCTTGAACTCTGATCAGTGTGTTTGCAGACCAGGGCTATCTTTCTTTTACCCACGTATTTTAGTAGTTCTGCTATACATCATTGTCTTAAAATCTGTATAACTTTTGGAGTATTCCTTAGCCATTTTATACCCCAGGTTCCTTAGCTGTAGAATTGAAATAATCCATAGGAAGAAATGAGAAAATCTATATAAAACACAGCTCGGAGCCTGGTTCATAGTTAACCCCAATATGTACTAATTTTTATTGATTTTTTTTTTTTAGAGAGAGAGAGATGAAGAGGGAGGGAGAAACATCAATTTGTTGTTCCACTTACTTATGCATTCATTGGTTGATTCTTATATGTGCCCTGATTGGAGACTGAACCTGCAATGTTGGTGTATTAAGACAATGCTCTAACCAACTGAAGTACACAGCCAGGGCAATTTGCACTAATTTTTAGTAGTAGCTTAAGATGTTGCTGCTTTTGTTGATATTATTCGAATGAAAGACTATTACTACAGTTGTAAAAATAACTAGTATTTTTGGTTGTTCTCTATGTGTCAAGGATTATTCCAAGTGTTTTACCTGGATTAATTCAATTCTTACAGCAATTGCATTACGTATTAAAACTAAATAGTTCTTCCCACAATGAGCTGAAATGAAAATGATCTTTTAATTGTTCTACTCTGTTTTTGAACAATTTCTCTTGGCAAATTAAGACATGTTACCTTAGTTCTTGCTATCATGAGGTTATTTTGCAGCTCCTGTATAAGGACCAAAAGAATGATGTGTGTGTAAAACAGTTCTAGCCTCCCTCCTTCTTACCGCTACATTTCTTCTTAAAACAGGGGCATCATTTGGGGAAGAAAAGCACACTCTTGGAGGATGAGGACAATGTTGAACTCTGAGTTTTGGTTTATCTGTCAAGAAAATAATGTGGGGGTGGGAGGACATGGGGCATTGTACTGGATAATCTCTGTAAAGCTTTAAAATCTAATATATGTGTGCATTTTAAAACAGGAAGACTGGTTCTCTTACTGGATCTCACTACACATCTTTCTATCTTGTATGGCTTCTCAGTGAGACGGATGAAACTACTAAAAAAGATAAAAAAATTCCATGTTTAAGCACAGTTTGATACACCTATTGCTACCCTTATTTGGTTCATAAATTCTCATTTTCTTAACTTGGGTATCTACTTTTTCATCTATCAGCTTGCTGTATACCCTAAATTCAGTGTTAAGTTTCAGTTACATTGTTGATAAAAAAATATTTTGCTATATATATGGATTTCTAACTTCAGTCCTACTTAGGATGTTTTTGTAAGTTAGGATGAGATTTGTGACTGGCCACAGGTTTAGAGGATAGACTTAGAAATTCAGAAACTTCCACAGCTGCTAAACCTACTTAAAAATTCTAAGTATTCACTCTTACATATAATTTCCAGGCTTCCTTTAAAGTTAATAAACTTAGTCTAAATATTTTTGTGAATTCTTTATCTCTCTTATAGTTATATTGGAAATGCCACTATATTATAATATTAAATAATTATTATATTATAATATAATATATTATTATATAATATTATAATATAATATAGTTATATTGGAAAGTATTTTTTCTTATACTATGTTGAAATAATCTCACAGGGAGATCTGCAGCACACCTGTTAGAAAATTTTAGACTTTATCAAACATAAAACTTTTTTCCAAAGTTATTTTAATCATCTTTGAAGCTTTGTACCATGACATCTGTAATCCATTCACCGGGAGCTTCAAAATGCTCTTGATCTCCCTCTTCAAAAACTAAGATATGCCATTATTTTCAGAGATTTCTCCATTTTTCATTGTTAAAGATCTTTCATTTTAAAAATGAAAAATCATCCCACATTCCCTAAGTAATATCATAACTATTCCACGGGATACTTTTAAATGTACACATATGAATGTAATAAAAATAGTGTACATT